CTATTTTGATCACGTGACGTCTTTTGACGCTGAAATCCAGCGTCAAAGCGTCACATGAAAATGCACCCTTAAGCACAGTTTTTATTGACGCTAGAAACCAGCGTCAAACCAAGATCACGTGACTAAATTTGTCGATTGTCTAATGGAGGGAGAAGTAGTGGCAAAATATGCGCGTCGTGAACCGCCGATAAAATTGAGAATATAATGGCTTACAGGCAGAAATATCGTGCATGGATGACAGAACGGGCGAGGCAGGTGAATAATGTTCAAAAAGAACAACTCTTTCTTCTTCTTCATTTATTGTTAATTATAATTATTGTTGAATTTGCGGCATGCTGAAAAAGCTGAAACGGTCTGAACTTTATTCCCCACTATATTTTCTTGACGCCGAATCTAGAGAAAGTTTAGTGATTTTAATTTGACGCTGATTTCTAGCGTTCATGAAATTGTACTTTTATGCAAGAGTGTGTGCTCCCCGCTTATATCACACACCTACATCACTTTACATACCCCAGCTTGTGCGACCCGCGGGGCACCATAGACATAGTAAGTATAGACTGCGCGTTCCCTAAATTTCCTTTGTTCGGCTGTCGTGAAACTTTAGAAAGAGAGAGCCTGCTTTCCTGGTAGCCTCCTCTCTGTCTAATGACGCGTAGTGGGAGAACGAAGTCTTCGTTGATTCGTAAAATAGAAAAGTAGTGGGAATAAAAAGGAATGAAAAAGATTAAGGAGACGCTACGAGGTAGCAGACACAAAACATATTTTTTTATGCCCCCACTCTAGCTATTGATAGACAGAGAGGAGGCACCAGGAAAGCAGGCTCTCTTTTTCTAAAATTTGAACAGCTTTTACACCAAATGCGCAGTCTATACTTACTATGTCTATGCGGGGTACCCTCTATACCTATACTCGTCTATATTCTTTGGTATAAGCAGAAAGAAGGATGAGAGGCGCCACACCGTCATTTTTCGTACGACGCTTTTTCTAGGCCGCGCACTAGCATCACGTACATCCATTTTACGGTTCGTGTGGAATTAAATGGCCACATCCACTTTCGATGTCGGTAAAAAAACCAAATTTGGGAGTAACTATGACTCTCTCGGTCCTCAAAGCAACACGCCGAGATGATACTTAGAGAGAGTCGTGGTTGGTTCGTGATGCGTCTCAGTCCTCTTGTAAGGACCTTCAGCCATTCACGTTTAAGTTGTACCTCCACCTCCTCGTGGTGCTCCCGGAAACGGTCTACCTCGGAAGTTTCGACTTGATAGGTGTCGACTAAGAGAGTGTACAGCGAAGTGCGCCCCTAAGGGCTTTGGCCCATGCGCCTACGGTCATGGTGAGTTGTGAGGCCAAGAAAGACCGGGGTGTCTTGGGGGGCTCTCAGTTGTCAATCCGTTTGCCCCCCTACACGCAGATAATATAGAGAATAAGAAGAATGAATCTGATATCCCGGGTTCTCGGATGGCCCGGGTACTGCGTGCAAGTGCTCGCGTGCGTGAGCGTGCGAGAGGTGCGGAGGACCCTGACGGGATCGCAACTGGTCCGTCGCGAATTACTATAAGGACCAGCCAGGTTTAAGTGGACAGCCTAGAGGAGGAGATGGTCAGCTGTGAGCATTGCCCGGCGAGGTTCCGGATCATGCGTGGTCTTGGAGTTCACAAAGTGCGAGCTCACCCATTGGAAGCCAACAGTGCTATCAATGTTGACCGCGTAAAAGCCAGATGGTCCGTGGAGGAAACGAGACTCATGGCACGCGCTGAGGCTGAAGGCACCTTAGCCGAGGAACTCTTTATAAACCAGTATCTGGAGACAAAGTTCCCCCATAGAAGTCTCGAAGCCATCAAGGGTAAACGGCGACAGGAGCCTTACCGAGTGATGGTTAGAGACTTCTGCCAAGAGATCCAATTGCGTCGCGCGATTGTGATCGATGAGGGCGATAGGGATGGTGTGGTGATGATAGGAGCCGACACCACCCCTGCGGCCACTGAGACTAGTACAGACGATCAAAGCGCACATCAGCCTCCCCCTGAGCAGAGTTCTCAGAGGCTGCGAATCACTCGTAGAGCAGAGTGCGGCGTTCCGTAGTTATGAGGCTGATACTCTTGCTGGCACGGCAAGAGATGCTCTGACGGCGGGGAGGGTCGACGTCCTGGCTATCAAAAGATGGCTGGGCATGATCTTCCCGCGGCCGGTACAGGTGCGCCCTCCACAGCGCGTTTCGGCAAAGAAGCACTGTCCTCCTGTCAAGCGAGAGAGCAGGGAGCAGAAGAGAAAGAGGGAGTATGCAATTGTGCAATCCCTCTACAAGAAAAACAAAAAGTCCTGTTTGTCGCGTATCCTTGAAGGCGACTCGGTGCGCGAGAAGCCGTCCGCTGTCAAATTCCTTAACTGCTGGCGCCTCATTATGAAAGCGTCCAGCGGTGCGGATGGAGACATGACGGACTTGCGTGAGTCGTATGGGGAGGCGGCACAGGCTGCGAGTGCTGGCCGGGGCCGTACGTCGAGACCGAGAGGGATTCACCTCGAAGGTCTCGGCGATGGCATGTTGTTGTTTATGTCCGTGCTACATCCACAATTTATAGATCCGAATATGACAAAGACCAGAGTTCAAGACCATATGTTTATTTTTAAGTTATAATTTTTTTAAATTTACAATACATCACTATATTACACATTTTTAAATTTCGTTATATTTACAGAAATAAGAACTATATTAAAATTATATACTTATTTCATAGTAAAATTTTCAGACAGCCCCATGTGGCGAAGAAAAAAATGCTCTTCCACCATAACAACGCACCGGCTCACACCTTCATCGTCGCCACGGCCAAATTGGTCGAATTGCACTATGAACTGCTGCCCCATCCACTGTATTCTCCAGATTTGGCCCTGTGCGACTTTTTTTTGTTTCCAAACTTGAAAAAGTCACTCGCCGGGCAGAAATTTGAGTCAAATGAGGAGGTCATCGCCGCCACGGAGGCCTATTTTGCAGACCTCGAGAAAACGTATTTTTCAGATGGGTTAAAGAAGTTGGGGCATCGCTGGGTCAAGTGTATCGAGCTAAAAGGAGACTATGTTGAGAAATAAATCGCCACTTTTCCCAAATTTTTGTTTCTATAAAGACCAACGCCTTAAAATCCTGGCGAGATAACGATTTGATTGACGACTCCACATATAAGTCATTAAATATCACTAATGGTAATTTACCACGTTGTTATGGTTTGCCAAAGGTTCACAAAAAAGAATTTTCTCTACGCATCATTGTATCTTCATTAGGTAATCCAGTATATAATGTTGCTAAATATATTCATAATATTTTACATAGTTCTATTTTGTTACCGAAATCTTACGTTAAGAACGTCTGGACATTTTCCACAAATTTAAAAGATAAAATTATTGACAATAATAATACTTTGATTTCTTTAGATGTGACCGCCCTATACACTAATATTCCAAAAGAATTGGTTTTACGCGCTATTGAGAAACGATGGAGCGACATTTGTCAAAACACAAATTTCAGTCGTGCTCAGTTCTTATATGCCGTCGAATTTATTTTAGATTCTACTAGTTTTAGCTTCAATAAACAATATTATGAACAAATTTTTGGCAGTCCCATGGGATCTCCTCTCTCACCCATCTTGGCAGACATGGTGATGGATGATCTCGAAACATATTGTTTAAGTCAACTTAGTTTCAATGTTCCGACTTATTATAGATAGTTGACGATATTTTCGCTATTATTCCAAAGACAAAAATCCGCAAAATAATTAATACCTTTTATAATTATCACCACCATTTAACTTTTACATATAAGACGGAATCGGACGGATGTATTAATTTTTTGAATACAACGATCTTTCGGTCAAATGGAAAGCTTGTAACAAATTGGTACAGGAAGGAAACGTGTTCGAACAGATATATGAATTTCTTTTTTAATCACTTTTTTAAATATAAAATGAACACAATTTTTAATCTTGTAGATCACGCGATTCTCTTATCTAATGACCAGTTTCACGACAAAAATATTAATATCGTGAAACAGATTTTATTTAATAACTGCTTTCCTAAACGTGTAATTGATCGTTGGGTTACTAAAGGATTAATTTTTTAAAACACAGAAACATGAATGAATCGAGTAATGAACAAAATATTGTTGATAAGTCTCCTTTTGTTGGAGTGTCGGCGTGACTCCGCTGGTACTCTAGACGTCGTTGGCTCGATGACCGCGAGGCCTCCGGAAGGTTTGCGTCTCGAGCCATCAAAACAGTTTTTTGGTGCTCGGTACACAACGCCGGCGATTGCCTTATATGGTCATTTTCGATAATGTTTGCGAGGACTACGGTCCCCTTTCCCTCGCGATCGGTGGATCGAGGAGCTTGAAACAAGGGAAGGGAATTTTCTTGAAATTCCTCTTCGCGTCTCGAAGGGTCAGTCTGATACTGGCACGACGAGCGGTACCATACGCGTCAATCACCGAGATAAAGAGAAATTACTATTGGTTTTTTTGTAACTCTGTGTTTTCTGTGTCGGTTAACGACGGCACGGATTTGCGTGCCGTGAATAAAAAAAAGTGACGTGTAAAGTGCTTGTTTGATTCTCCACCCTCTAATCCGCGCAATCCACCGGCAGTCCTCCAACCGGCGAAAATTCGCCCGGCGTGACGCCAACATTTCTGGTCCTTCGAGCCGGATTGCGAGGGTGAGACTCTGAGACGTTTTCGGTGAGTAACCGCTTGTTAATTACATCGCGCCTATAGTGCCGCGTACCGCGCCGCGCACCCTACCGCGCCCACAGTGCCGCGTACCGCGCCGTGCACTTGCCGCGCCCACAGTGCCGTGTACCGCACCCCGCACTTACCGGCTTTACGGCCACGGGCCACGATCAGCTGTACGCGTCTTCTCTCTCTTTCTAGCTCTTTCTCTCTCTAACTCACGCAGTCTATCGCGCCTTGTACCGCGCTTGTCAATCTTGCCGTCTCTCTTTTTTTTTAACGCTCCGCGATGGATCTCGCAATTAAAAAGCAGATGAACACTGCCGGTTATATTGAGCGCTTCTGGGACAATCTAATTAAAGTCAAGGACAAAATGACACGCACGTATCTCACCACGCGCCTCGAGTTGCTCGAGTCATATTGGACGCGCTTCCTGGATGCGCACGATGCCATCTTCTCTTTCGAGAAGATAGACACTTCGGATTACATGCGGCAGGACGTTTACGCGGTGACCAAGGATAATTACGTAGCCGCGAAGTCGCATATCACATCTTTTATGCCGACGACGAGATCCGTGGACGGGCAAAGTGCCACGAGTTCAGTGTTGCGCCAGATCCAGCTGCCGAAGATAAGCTTGCCGAGGTTTGACGGCGATCAGCTGGCGTGGGAAGACTTCCGAGACCTTTTCAAGTCGCTGGTCCATGACGTGGAGGGACTCACTCCCTCGCAGAAGCTGCAGTATTTAAAGGCCAGCCTCAGCGGGGACGCGGAGGCCGCCGTCGCCAATATCGAAATCTATTCCGACGGATACCCGCTGGCGTGGGACGAACTCGTGACGCGATATGATAAACGGCGAGTCCTCTTAGCGACTCACATGCGCGTGCTACTCTCTGCCGCGCCGGTAACCAAGCCGTCATCAGCAAAAATCAACCGCCTGATTAGCGCAGTCAACCGGGCTTCGCGCTCCTTCAGGGCAATGGGCCGCCCGGTGGAGCACTGGGACGACTGGTTCGTCCATATTCTGGTCGAGAAGTTGGATCCCGCCACCAGGCTATTATGGGAAAGCCATCGATCGAGTCGGGAGTTCCCTAATTTTGAGGAGCTCAAGGAGTTCCTCCTCACGCGGGCTCATGCGTTGGATGCATCCAATCTGCGGACACCACCGATGACCTCCAGTTCCGCTTCCAAACAGAAGTGTACGGGCCGCAAGGACGACGTCGCGTCTCACGCTATGGCTGCGAGTGACCACAAAGGCACGCCGTGCCCCCTGTGTAGGGAGCAACATCACATGCGCTCCTGCCCGAGATTCAAGGCATACTCGACGGAGCACCGCCGCGAGCAAGTGCGCAAAAGGAAGGCCTGCTTCAACTGCCTGGGACAGAGTCACGCCGCCGGAGCTTGCCCTTCAATTCATCGCTGTCGCCACTGCCAGGAGAAGCATCATACGCTTCTGCACACGGAGCCGGAGACGACGCCACAACCTGCCGCTTGGGAGAAAACGGAATCCGACGACTCCGCCGACAAACCGGGTCCCGTGGAGACGACCAAGGTCTCCGCCTTGACCAGTTCTATCTCCACGACAGTGCTACTCGCGACCGCGGTTATTCGAGTGTTTGGTGAATCGGGCCGATCGTTGAAAGTATGCGCTCTCCTGGACTCAGGATCGGAGGCATCCTTCATCTCGGAACGCGTAGCCCAGCAGCTGAGACTATCCCGTCGACGAATGAACGTGACGGTTTCCGGACTTCAGGGCGCGACGACCGGGCAAGTGACTCACGCGGTATCGATGGTGATCGGCACGGTGCGATCGCCGACAGTACGGATCACCTTGCCGAAGGCTCTGCTTCTGCCCCGGCTCACCGCTCTCACCCCCAGGAAACATATTCCGAGAGGTGATTGGCCGCATCTACGGGGCCTCATGCTTGCCGACTCGGCCTTTGACAAGCCGGCAGCAGTCGACGCCGTTCTAGGCGCCGATATCTACGGCGTACTGCTTGACGGAGGGATCAAGCGTGGACATCCGGGGGAACCAGCCGCTTACTCTACCGTGTTCGGTTGGGTGCTGATGGGTTCCCTCATCGGATCCGCCGATCTTCTTCCAAGCCGAGTCGCCGTCCACCATACCACCACGCAGCCTGATCTTCACCAGGAACTCCGACGGTTTTGGGAGCTCGAAAAAGTGGCCGCCCAGCCGATACTCACGCCAGAGGAGTCTCGTTGCGAGCGGCTTTTCGCTGAGACTCACGCACGTGATGCGAAGGGACGCTACATCGTGCGGCTCCCTTGCAAGGAGAACCCGACGACGGGACTTGGGGCTTCCCGCCACGGGGCCTTGCGAATGCTCCTCAGCACGGAGCGCCGTTTGACGCGCGATCCGTCACTCAGGGAGCGATATCACGACTTCCTGGCGACCTACGCCTTCTGCGGGCACATGGAACCGGCACCCCGCGGCGAGGCAATCGGCGAGCAATATTATCTGCCGCACCATGCGATGGTGAAGGCGTCAGACCCGGAAGGTAAAATCAGGGTCGTTTTCAACGCCTCTTTCCGGACCACCACGGGAGTCTCATTGAACGACGTGCTGATCACGGGACCGAAACTGCAGGCGGACCTATGGCTGGTCCTCATACGCTGGCGTCTGCATCGATTCGCCTTCACGACGGACATCGTGAAGATGTTCCGACAGATCCGGGTGCATCCGCAGGACCTTGACCTCCAGCGGATCTTATGGCGGGCGGATCCAGCGGCGGTGGTGCAGGACTACCGGCTCACCACCGTCACCTATGGCACGGCCTCCGCGCCGTACCTGGCCATAAGAACTTTGTTACAGCTCGCGCAGGACGAGGGCCATCGATTTCCACTCAGGGCAGCTGTACTCCCGGCCAACACCTACGTGGACGACATCCTCGCGAGAGCAAGCTTGATGGAGGAAACGCTCGAACTCCAGCGGCAGACTGTGGCTCTCCTCGCTGCCGGCGGCTTCCAACTCAGCAAGTGGGCAGGTACTCATACTGTGTTGTGTCCGGCCGTGGACAGAACCGAACGACTCATCTCCGGGGTGGACAACGTGGGTGCCCTAGGAGTACTCTGGGTCCCGGCGAACGATGAGCTTTATCTTCGAGCGGTCCCCGCGCTGTCGAAGGTCGAGAATCCGACCAAGCGCACCATCCTTTCAACTGTGGCCAAACTCTTTGATCCGGCGGGCTGGGCGGCTCCCGTGATCATAGGCGCCAAGATCCTCATCCAGGACTTGTGGATGGCCGGCTTGGATTGGGACCAAGCCATCCCGCCCACATTGCGCGAGCGGTGATCGCGCCTTCTGGCTATGCTGCCAGACTTGGATCAGCTCAGCATTCCGCGGTGGACAGGGACCACGAGCGAGCGACACGTGAAGCTTCACGGCTTTTCCGATGCCTCGGAAAGAGCGTACGCCGCTGCGATGTACATCCTGGGTGTTGACGCCAACGGCACCCTGGTCTCCAACCTTTTGGTCGTGAAAACCAAAGTGGCCCCGGTGAGGCCTGTCTCTATGCCGCGACTGGAGCTGTGCGGTGCTCTGTTGACAGCGCGCCTACTCCGGAACACCAGAGCTGGCCTGGGGGTGCCCCTTTCGCACCTATACGCCTGGACGGACGCCAAGGTCGTGTTGGCATGGCTGCGGGCCCATCCTTCCCGTTGGAAGCCATTAGTCGCCCATCGGGTTGCTGCACTCCAAGAGACGGTGCCCGCCGAGCGCTGGCATTACGTCCCCACGTCAGAGAACCCGGCGGATGCCGCAACGTGAGGAATGACCCCAACCGAGCTGTCGCAACTTCGCTTGTGGTGGAAAGGACCGGGCTGGCTGGAACGACCCAAGGACACCTGGCCGGCGGACTAGGGTCAAAGCATGGAGCTGCCCGAGGAGTGCCGAGTGCACGCGACAGCTACCGACAGAGACGAGGGAGCGGTCAAATGACCTTCTGATACGCTTCTCCTCCCTTACCAGGTTGGTACGCATCACCGCATTCTGCCGTAGGTTACTTCACCGCGGGGTTCGACCGAGAACAACTCACCTGACCACCGCCGAACTGAATGACTGCCAGTTCAGTTGGCTGCGGATTGCGCAGAGACACACTTTGCAGGAGAGCTGGAGGCCCTCTCCCGCAATGCGCCCCTTCCGCGCCGATCACCTCTCCCGGCGCTGAGACTCATTCTAGGACGGGATGATACGAGTCGGAGAGCGACTTGAAAACTCGCCCCTGACCTATAGCGAGAAGCACCCGATCATACTGGCCAAGGGCAGCCATCTAGCACTTCTGCTGGTCCGAGACGCGCATCTGTGCACTCTTTATGGCGGCCATCAGTTGACTCGAAGCGTCCTGGCACGAACGTACTGGATCATTCACTCCAGCTCGCTGATCCGCTCCGAGATTCATCGCTGCGTCCGATGCGTCCGCTTCAGAGGCAAAGCGCTACAGCAGCAGATGGGTCAGCTTCCGGCTGATCGCGTCCGGGCGGGACGTCCCTTCCTATCCACCGGCGTGGACTACGCAGGCCCCATCCAGCTTCGAGCCTCGAAGGGTCGAGGTCAACAATCCTTCAAAGGATACATTTGTTTATTTGCATGCCTGTCCACGAAAGCCGTGCATTTGGAAACCGTATACGACCTCACCACGGAAGCCTTTCTGGCGGCATTCCGGCGCTTCGTTGCAAGGCAAGGCCACTGCGCACGTCTGGTCAGCGACCACAGAACCAACTTTTGAGGCGCCGATCGGAAGCTCCGCAGGATGTTTCGCGCCGCAGCGGAATTCGGCTAGGAGTGTCAAGCTCTCCTTGCCACCGATGGGGTCGAGTGGAATTTTATTCCCCCCGCGGCTCCGCATTTCGGGGGACTATGGAAGGCAGGTGTCAAATCGACTGAAGAGTACTGAGGGACCAGCTTCTCACCTACGAGGAACTCTCGACGCTACTCTGCCAGATCGAAGCCTGCCTCAACTCGAGGCCACTCTACGCGGATCCGACGGATTTTGCGGCGCTCACCTTTTAATCGGGGAAGCTCCGATTAATGTACCAGAGCCAACAACCTTGGAGAGTCCGCCGAGTCAGGTACAAACGCGATGGCGACTTCTTTCTAACATGCGTGACCACTTTTGGTACAGGTGGTCCCGAGAATACCTGCAGCACCTTCAGCAGCTGGGCAAATGGAAGGACTGCAAGGCCAACCTCCAACCTGAGACCTTGGTTCTGCTGAAGGACGAGCTGCGGCCGCCATCAAAGTGGGCCCTTGGGCGAGTTCACGAGGTGCATCCAGGGGCCGACGGCCTAGTTCGCGTTGTCAGCATCGACACGGCCACCTCCCGGCTCACGCGGCCGATCACGAAGATTTGCCCGCTCCCGGTTGCCTCGGACCACTGGAACAAACAGGACGCCTGGGCCTCGAGCGAGTGTCGTACGGCGGGCGGCGAGCGTTTCTATTTCGTCCCCCGGACGAGGCGGGCGGAATGTTGGAGTGTCGGCGGGACTCCGCTGGCACTCTAGACGTCGTTGACTCGATGACCGCGAGGCCTCCGGAAGGTTTGCGTCCCGAGCCATCAAAACAATTTTTTGGTGCTCGGTACACAACGCCGGCGATTGCCTTATATGCCTCATTTTCGATAATGTTTGCGAGGACTACGGTCTCCTTTCCTTCGCGATCGGGTGGATCGAGGAGCTCGAAACGAGGGAAGGGGGTTTTCTCGAAATTCCTCTTCGCGTCTCAAAGGGTCAGTCTGATGCTGGCACGACGAGCGGTACCATACGCGTCGATCACCGAGATAAAGAGAAATTACTATTGGTTTTTTTTTATTGTAACTCTGTGTTTTCTGTGTCGGTTAACGACGGCACGGATTTGCGTGCCGTGAATAAAGAAAAGTGACATGTAAAGTGCTCGTTTGATTCTCCAACCTCTAATCCGCGCAATCCACCGGCAGTCCTCCAACCGGCGAAAATTTGCCCGGCGAGACGCCAACACCTTTCATTTCACTACCTTATGTTAATAGCTTAGGCGATATCGATCAAATTTTTAACAATATCAGATTTAATGTTGTTTATAATGATCCTAAAAAACCGAATTATTTAATTACACTCGGCAAGGATAGATTGCCTACAGATAAAAAAACTGAAGTAGTTTACAAAACTAATTGTAATGATTGCAACGTGTCATACATTGGACAGACAAAAAGATATCTATGCACACGTGTAAAGGAACATTTCAGCAACTTTAAAATGCATTCGAGTAATTTATCAGTTATTAGCAAACATAAAATTGAATTCGATCACGATTTTGACTGGACTTCGCCTGTTATTTTGCATAGTGAAAAACACGTAAGAAAAAGAGAAATCGCTGAAATGTTTTTTATTAAGGGAAATAATAACGCTATTAATTTACAAAAGGATACAATCTAAGTAATATCTACAACAAAATAATAAAGGTCGTTTAGTCTCCAATAACACGTCTAAGAATCTTGACGTGTTGTCAAACCGACACTATGTTCGTTCTTGACATCTTAAAATTATAATTTTATTTTTATTTTTACAAGTATGTTTCGCTTCTTTTTATCACTTTGTAATATTGTTAGTGAAGTAATTTTGTTTTTTATTGTATTAATCTCTGTCTATGTTCAGATCACTTGATAAGGACTCAAAGAAGGGTCGAAACGTTGTGATTGAATAAATAATATTTGCCAGTACAGTCGAAAGAAGATTCTTACCTTTTATAACTGAATTTGTTATGAAGCGAAACATGGTTTCCCGTCTAGAACATTTTTTATAATTTTTTATAATTTTTTACAATTTGTTATAATTTTTTAAATTCTGTGTTCTCGGATTATTTTTACTCATGTATTTTTTATTTTTGTATTTTTTATGCTCTGAAGAAGGCTCAAAGAAAGAGCCGAAACGTTCGCAACTTATTGTCACTTTTGTAAATTTGTCGTAATTCTTTATGGATTATTAAATATAAAATACTTATAATACTTATAATATAAAAAATTTGCGCCCTTTTAACTGCGCCCTGGCTCTTATAGCTAACTCATCCTGAGATATAAATATTTATAAAATTTTTAAATTAAATCTATCCTGGGTACAATTAACAATCCCTGCTGAAAATTTCTAACAAGTGTGTATAAAAAAAACTTGTCCGTTTACTATGTGCTTTTGAAATCGTAATTCCTCACAAATGCAAACAAAATCTTTATCCGCACTTACGGATTTAAGTGAATACAAAACGTGTTTGCAAATGCAATAAAATACGATTTCAAAAGCGCATTGTAAACGGACAAAAACAAACACAAATTGCATTGAGAAATTCGGGCATAAACCGATAAAATATCTACCCGCATTTACGGATTAAAGCGGATATGAAATGTGTTTGCAATTGTAAATTACAAATTGCAATTGCGAATTGACCGATCTAAAAGGCAAGTTTCAGATGATTAAAAAGAAGCTAAAATTACTCTTGAGAAAGAAAAATCATTAAAACTTTTGTTCGAGATAGAAGAGGTAGTCCCGCCTTTTATGGCCCCGAATTGGCAGAGATTAAAGGTGTTATTCTAATTTTACAATCTTATTAATTGACCATATTAAACGGTAAGAAATATTTTAAACGCGTTTTTCTTAAAAATACAAGAAATAATAATCCTAAAAAAATCATAAAAATGAAAAGGTCAGGCCATGTTCAAAAGAAGGTACTCAAAAATTTAAACGATCTAATAATAAATTATCACGAAAAGTAACTGATATGTTATTCAAGGTGCCAGTTCAAAGTGAACATACGTAAAGTGTATATTATCTAAATTTAGTAATAATATATTACCATGAAAAGTAACTGTGATATTTTATTCAAGGTGCAAGTTCACATTGAATATACATACATATAAGTAAAACTGATTACAATTTGATTCTAGAAAATAAGTGCGATATGTTATTCTTAGTGCACAAAATATAATAGTCGTTTATAGAGATTTGATTTGAAATTCATACTAGCCCGTACAATGAAAAATAATTGCTCGTAATTCCAGAGTACCAATTTGTTAATGACTCAGAAAAATAACATGGCGGCCTGCTCTCAAAAAACTATGATGTTTCTCGATGTCCATTTAGAAATAATGTCGAAGCTCTTACAGAATAATTACTACAACATTTGAAATACGAAAAGTATTACATTAGAAGAAGATTAGATTAGAATAAGGATTCAACGTATTTTTAAAAGCTCTACACACACAACGAAGTGAATATACAAAACTATATACAAATACCTTTTTCTTCTGTGTTTCTGAAGAAAATTGTAAGTCAAATGAAACCTTGCACTTTGAGAACCATGTCACTTACTTTTCAGAGTCAAATTGATAAATTTTTTTGTATATTTTAATGATATTTATTTCTCACTTGTATCTTGAATAATTAATATGTAATTTTTTATTGTATATTACGACAAATAATCAGTAAACTTTTTAAGCGTATAGCTTTATTGTAGTTGACCTGAGAACTGTACATTTATAAATTTTACTTAATATACACCCGTTTCGAGCAACAAGGCAAAGTTTTCTGATCAATAACTTACTCCCTGAAAATACGGTATAACACAAATCGGAAGTTGATACGAAAATTCGAAATTTTACTAAAGAAAGATTGGAGGTTTTTAATTTATACAATTTTCACAACTCTTATTTCAATTATTTATTCTACCCATCGAAAGTTTTTTGAGAGCAGGCCGCCATGTTATTTTTCTGAGTCATTAACAAATTGGTACTCTGGAATTACGAGCAATTATTTTTCATTGTACGGGCTAGTATGAATTTCAAATCAAATCTCTATAAACGACTATTATATTTTGTGCACTAAGAATAACATATCGCACTTATTTTCTAGAATCAAATTGTAATCAGTTTTACTTATATGTATGTATATTCAATGTGAACTTGCACCTTGAATAAAATATCACAGTTACTTTTCATGGTAATATATTATTACTAAATTTAGATAATATACACTTTACGTATGTTCACTTTGAACTGGCACCTTGAATAACATATCAGTTACTTTTCGTGATAATTTATTATTAGATCGTTTAAATTTTTGAGTACCTTCTTTTGAACATGGCCTGACCTTTTCATTTTTATGATTTTTTTAGGATATCACTTACTTTTTAAAGTACAGATATATAGAGCAGCTTTCTAGTAATTCAAGTATCACAAATATATGTATTTTCGATTCTTATCACATAACTTTGTATAAGTAACAATTTATGCAATACAGTTCAAAATAATTGAAATATATGGTATATATGTACATATATAAAATATATAATTATATTATAGTATACATATATATTTTATTTAATCATATATGTAAATGTTTGTATAATTGTAATAACTTTTAACGATACATTGCACATTTATTTCAATTGCAACAGAATGAATTTATATTCTTGTATGAATATTGAAAATAAAGAATGGGCCCCTCCATCGCCCATTCTCGTGAGAACGCAACCATATATTTTTCTTCGTCTCTCCGATTTTAACACGACATACATATTTCTGTCTGATAATTTTTTTCTTGATGATACTTTTTGAAATGTCATGAAGCCTAGGTCAAATTAGAAACTTATTGCACTCGTTTTAATGCAGCGCTTACAGCAGCTTTTATAAAGCGCCAGAGCAGCCGATATTTTATTTTGGCGCTTACGGCAACTTTTATACAGCGCTAGAACAGTTGATGTTTTAAT